TACTCAACCAATACCAGATTGTCCACGTCTGCATTGCAGTGCACCAAAGAAACAATTAATTTTGACACCTTTAAGGCTGATTTATACTTCTGCGTCAAACACCGGCGTATGCTATGGCGTATGCATGGCTAAACGCAATGAGCGAGTTTGAGTCACTTGTACATCCAGGAAGTGTTCAGGAAAAGCAAAACAGAAGCGAAGAAACTCTACACAGAGGAACATTTACACTTCACTGCCAACTAGCGTTTCAGAAGTGTTAATGCAGACCAACGGAGACAGCGCGCAGAAGTATAAATGCACAGCCACGCGCGTTGCCTGCGCCGTGAGTTGCGCCGGTCACTTGACGCAGAAGTATAAACCAGGCTTTAGTGTGGACTGTTAGTAAGAGGCAGGATTTGCTACAGTTTACAATTGTTTGCTGTGAGCTACTTGTGAATTTACTTGGCTTTTTAAAGCAAACATGATTACAGGAACCCCCATAGTCAAACTTCAAATTCCACTCTACTGGGCCATCACTAAAATCACTTTCTTGTAAGATTAGCCATCCAGGCTATTTTTGCAATGCTTGCAGTTAAGCAGTCTCCTGCTTCTTAATTCTAAATGTTATCTTTGGCATGCCACCAGTTTAGAAGTGGAAAAAACACATTACAATGAGAATCAGATCTGTTCAAATTTGCAATTGCTGTGCTGTTGTATTTCCCTGCATTTTCTTCTTTTCTTGTCCGTCCAGCATCCACACTTGTGTTCTGTAGTGGTTTTGAAGTTTTACACCTCATTGACTCTTCATGCATCTTAACCCCTGGATGAACTGCGGAGAGTGGCTCTTAAGAGCTTTTTGAATGGCTGATGTGTTGCCTTTATGTCTGGGTTAAAACACTTTACCCTTTCTCTAATGATGGACAAAACTGAAGTCTCGAATAGATTCCTAATTTAACATATTTGTACATGATTACAAATCTAAACCGTATATACATTTATGTATTTCCATCTTTCCTAAATCATATCAAGGATTTGAAAAAAAAAATGTGCAGCTGTAAATGAATCTTGCCTCATGATTACACCCCGCTCTTTTAGAGCCCTGATGATGTCATCATCTAAAAGGCCAGTTATTGCCTAGAGGTGCTACAGTTTCATGATGTGCACATTGTTTTTTTTGGAACAGATCACCATCTGTTTCACCACAGTTGCATCTGGCTGTGCTGCTTAATGTAAGTAAAGAGTGATCAAGTGGTGTAATCCGTTTTAAGTCTGCAGCCACAGTTTGTCAACAGATGTAATGTTATGTTCTTGCACTGATATGATTGCTGTGATATTATTCAACTAATCACACTCCTGTTTACTGCTCTGTGTGCCAGCCAAGTGAGAATGGGAACTGGGAGTTGTTTGCTTGAATATTTCATGCTGTCGGGTCATTTGGCCTGGGTCGTTTGATGAGCCCATCTGCCTCTCGCAGGCAAACAGTTTTGTCCTGGAGGTTAGCAGCTGGTCAGAATCTAATGCTTTTAAAAATGGGCATAGCTCTTTCCCAGACTGCTTGATTTTGAGTCATTTGGACTCAGAGACAAAAATTAGCTTAAACTCATTGAACTGAAATAGATTTTTAAAAAACTTTTTTTAAAATATGTGCTTATTTTTCTGTATCTTGTGTAATTATTATTTTTTTCATGGATAGTTAGCCATAACAACACTGGGATGATCATGGTTCGCTATTTGACATTACTGTGTGCTCTTAACTGAGTTGCCATTAGGGAATATTGGCTGAAAAACATCATAGTAGATCACTCAGATCATTAGGATCATATAAACTAGAAATTCCAAGAGTTCAGCCAAAGCAGGGTGAATTGGCCTTCAGTTATTACTCCCCCCCCCCCCCCCAAGTAACTACCAGAAATGATCAGATATGCTCCAACATTGGCCACATTCAAATCAAGATTAACAAAATCTGATTTAGCTGTGCCTTTACTGAATGAGCACTGTGCTACATCCAACAGATTGCACTATTATGTTTTTCTTGTCTTTTACATTCTTTATAACCTGTTTTAACACATTTTAATCTGTTTTTTCTATTTGTAGATATATTTTTTTCTTTTATTCCTGTTTATGTAAAGCACTTTGAATTGCCACTTTGTATGAAATGTGCTATATAAATAAACTTCCCTTGCCTTGCCATAGTCGTACATGGAAGACAATAGAGTTATTTAGACATGCCACAAAATTGTACTTTTGATTGCAAAGGGTCTTTAAGGAGTCTCTTTTTCTGAGTGCATGGGTAACCTTTTACTTTAGAAAAACTTCTGCCAAATATGTGATGTAATTTATGATATAATTGTTCAAAAATGTGATCTAGATTTGTGATCACACATGCTAGATTCAGCCAAGAATGACGTGACTTCACTGTAGACTTCGCTCCCAACTTGATTCTAGGTCAAGTTGTGTTCATCATCCATACTGTCCTTGCCTTAGAGGAAAGATGTTACTCAAATGTGCTTCACTGTGCAATAATAGCACTTGAGTTGTCATGGAGATTATTGTCATCCTGGCAGATGCATTCATGTCCGTGTGTCAGCTCAGCTTACTTTCATTGAATGTTTGTTACTTCAATTTCCGCAATCTTGGAATTGCTTCTTGTCACGGAGATTCTCATATTTCATAAACTGAGCGGAAATATTCAGTTTGAAAGCAGATAATCTGGGAGGCTGCTTCATCCTTTCAGTTTAATCTCAAACGATAACTGCTTTTCAGCATAGTACAGCTTGTGTTATTGGGGTCACTGGAAAATTCCACTGCGGGTTCAGAAAAACATGTTTATTCTCTGGGAATTCTCTTTTCCTGATTCCAGTACCTGGACCTGGTGGGAGGGAAATACCAGAGATGATATCCCCATACTACTTTAACCCAGATCATCAAAGACTAAAAATGATCTGACCAAAATACTGCACACTTTACAGTGTCAATCTTGCAATTGCAATGTTACAGCTGTTCTTAGAAATTTTATAATTATAAATGGGTGTTCTAATAATAGATCTGGTAGCAGATTCCGCAGCCTCTGTTACTTTTTACCTTGCACTTTTTTTTTTACTAATATTTATTATTATTTATTTAGGATATGCGTTTTCACATTCTTATTCTAATGCCTCATTATTAAATTGTTAAAATTACTATAAATAAATTTAAATATCCATATAAATAAAATACGTGTTAATTGGAAGCGTGTACTTGCATTGTAATGAAAGTATATTGTCATTCTGGCATTATATAGTAAGTGGCATAAAATTATCTTAAAATGACAATAATATCATTTATCACAATATATTTTGGTGCAAAATATTGCACAACAAAAAATAGATATCGTGACTATTTGCTCATATGCGACATGACAAGATTACAGTGACAAACAATTTGACTGTTTGCATTAGACGTTACACGAAAGTGAAATGTAAATTATGCATTCAGAATCAATAAAATGATACGGTTTTAAAATCTGTTTAATGCATATTAAACCTCTTTAAAATTATTAAAAATAGATGCTGAGTGACTGATGTTTGTTGGTTCGCACTGTCACAGTCCCAACTTTCATTATCATCTGATTTCACATAAGGGATGCAATTATTAACCGATTTTACTATTAACGACGCTTTAATTCGTTATTAATTAATCGTAAAAGGCTTCTCAACACCATGTTTCTGCACGGAATAAAACTGCTGCAACTAAACAAAGTTATGCCAACTATGTGCTAGTTTAAAGTTCCAAGCTTTTACACCAAAACTAATACCCACGCACACTGGATTAACTATGGCTGAGGCTATTAACTAAGGACCGTTTACATACTGCGTCTTTTGTGGGCGCAAGTTTGTTATTTCCAGTGGAGGCGCGCAGCTTGCACGCACGTATAGGGATTGATGCACAATGTACTCGCGCTTTCCAGGTGCTCCCAGTTGAAAGAAGACCGCGAGCGTACCGCGAGTCACGTGACAAGAATTGGACCGATCAGCCTCATACTGTAATTTGTGTGGAATATGCACATTTCTACTCCAAACAGAAAAAAATACAAAAGGAAAATAACAAACAATTTTGTAATGTAGTTGATTAAAAGTGACTTTCAAACACGGGTTCAGCAGCCTTTGACTACATTTGTTACTGTTTAAAAGGGAAGTACTTAGCTAATGTGTAGCTTAGATATTTACATTAAACAAATGCATTTATTTATTTATTTATTCATTGTTCTCTCATTTATTCTCACTGTAAAATTATTACTTATGTTTAAATGCTAAAAACTGTTTTCACTTATTTTTTAGGTCCAAAGAGAAATTGACTATTGTTCGTTTTTAATATTATTTTGTGCTGTATTATTTAGTTACTGGTCAGCAACAAATAACATTTTAAAATGGAAGAAGTTTTTATGTGATTTTTCTAAACTAGTGGTGTTGAAATCAATTAACCATGATTGTTCTTCAGATAATAATCTAACAACCAAAATCTATAGTCGTTGCATCCCTATTCCTCATTCAGAATGGCAATAAGTGTGACTTAAAATGTTATTAAAACTTGCATTAGTAGCACCTAACATCGAATAACGCACATTATCAGTACCTGAGGTGATCCTCATAGTAATTTATAAAGTTGTTTGGCTGCGACATATAAAAAAAATAGAAACTCTTTATAAAATTTTAGCATTACTATTGTAGATGGTTTGGACAAAAATTCTTGTAAAACATACATTTTATAGTTTTTCCCCTATATACAGAAATTGCACTGGTTTGGTTTTGCAGAGTGTGGAGATGACAGGCATACAGTGATGTCTTTTTTATCTGTGTGTGTGAGAAAAGTGCAGAGACGGACAAGGCAAGGGAAGACCACTCATCCGGCTCACACGTCGAGCAGCCGTATGCCCATATAAGGGCCTGTGACTCGATGGCAGAGACCCCGTGGGGTCTGTTCATGCCCTGTCCTCAGGTTTAGGGAGGGGGGAAGGGGAGCATGAGCACTATGCACACTGACAGATGGGAGTCGAGCCAGAGGGAGGCAGTTCTTTATCTCTTTCTCCGTCAGGTTTATAAGCACTGTTGCGATGCATGAGGGCAGAAGAGGCTGATGTATTAATTGGGATCAGCAATCCAAATCTTCCAAAAAGAATCAAAGAAGGAGTGTGTAACCGGAACGCCGTCTGGTGGGAGGGTGTTTGTGAGTATCACTGTGTGCTGTAAAGAGGGAAAGCTCATTTCAACCCTCTCAGAGGAAAAAAAGGTCCACACGTGTTGATGGAGCAGACCTGCCGTATAGATGACTTTATCATGAAGGCAGCGTCATTTTTCTTGACAAATGGATTAGTAATTTAGGAGTTTCATAACTTCATGTGACAAGTTTTTTGCTTTTGTCATGATCATTCTTTGCATGAATGCCTGGTGTCTAAATGTTTTCTTTCCTTATCCGTATTGTTGAAACTGCATGAGCGCCCATCATTTATCTATGACATCTCATTTTAATATCCAGTTACTAACATACTTGGTTGTTGAAAGCCAGGTGTCATAGAAACTGCATGTATTGCTGTTATGTGCATATGAGCTCTCTTTAGAGAGATTGCGTCTCTGATGGTTTCTGTACTCAAGAGTGTTTTGGGTTGCCATTAGTTGCATTTGACTTTGATGTCTCTAGATAATTAATACCCGCCATTAAGATGAAACTATGGATCTGTGAAGATTTAAAAATTTTTTTTTGTTTATGATAAAATTTATTGAAACTTTGATTTGTATGTCATTGTTTATGGTTGCGATCATTAGCATTTACGATATGTAGGAAAAGTAGTGACGCAAAGAGGACATCAAAAGTTGAGCAATTCCATGCAAATTTCAACCTTGTCATGAAAGTTTTCACCAAAATAGCGAAACCGTGTGCTGTACTGTATACTGTAATACTGTAACATACTCAAAAATGTCTCTTTCAACGTTCTCAAACAATTATACTTTATTTACCAAACTCACACAAGTGGCTATTTCACATTCGTCACATCCATAACGGAAAGATGTCACATCCATAACCAAGCTTATTCCCTTATGCAAAAATGCTAAATAAAATAAAATCAATCATGTTTGTTCTTTAGAGAGCCGACTCTTATCCTTTTAGTTAGCATTATTTATTTTAGGTTGTGCAGTTTAATTAACAGAATTTCTACAAAGTATTGTATACTGTTAAAATAGCAGACTTTTTTGGTCACATCCCTAATGCATGTTCATTTTGCTCATTTAAAAAATAAAGCATGTTTACAGATTGATTTTTTTTTTATTAACTTTGTGGTTGGTTGTTTTGGAAAATGTTAACATGTTTCAATATAATGTTATCATTCTCTGTGAATTTTTATTTAGTGTTTTTACTGCAAACGTCACATCCGTAACGCTGGAATTGCTCTATTATTATGAATTATTCAAAACTGACTTTTGAAAATATGTTGCCCACATTGCAGTGTTAGATGTTGTGACCTGTTTGCCCATCACAGATTGTACTGTTCATCATGAGGTTTACAAAATGGATATCCTGTATAGGTAGCAACTGTTCTTCTAAACCATAGTAAACACACCTGCAGTGAGCTCTGAGGTGGTTAAATGACTGAATATGCCTTTGTTGAACTCATACATTTGCATTGATTCAACTTTGGACTGCACGATATTGGAAAAATCTGATGTTGAGATTATTTTATTTTTCTGCAATAAATATTGCGATATGAATACAGTTTCACAGGATGGTTTGAATAGCTCTTTTCAAAGGTTTTACTTCTGGGAAGTCTAGCATTATTCAGGTACAGAAGTTGACTTGAAAAATATTTTTCCTCTTTAGCTATGTCTCGTTTCTTGTTCAAATATTAAAAAATTCTTGTAGATTAAGCAACAATATTGTTTTGTTTTTGCCCCTTTTTTCTTAAAACAAATTGAGTAATTAAAATTAAATTAACAATAAAAAAATATATGTATATATATGTATATATTTATATATGTATATTAAAACATTTTTGTGTGTCATTCTGAGCACAGTAAAATAAACATAAATTCATAAAAATAAACAATATTAAATTTTAAATATTTTATTTAAACAATGGTCAGAAACAAGATAATGTATAACTAATGAATTAGTAATTTGGAAATAATATGTATGTAATAATAATAATAATATGTGTGAACTCAATATGTGTGAACTCAGAACTCAAAAGGGATGCTAGATAAAACCAGTGTACTGTATACTGAAATTCTGTAGTATTTTCATTCATTCATTCATTTTCTTTTCGGCTTAGTCCCTTTAATAATCATGGGTCGCCACAGCGGAATGAACCACCAACTCATCCAGCATACGTTTTAGGCAGCGTTTAGTACACCGACGTGAACACGGGGAGAACATGCAAACTCCACACAAAAATACCAGCTCACCCAGCCAAGGCTTGAACCTTGCTGTGAGGCGAACATGCTACCCACTGCGCCACCGCATCATCCTCTGTAGTATTTTATTATGATGATTATCATTATTATCCTCTTGTGCAGTACGGTGGATCAGAAATAGATATATTGCGTTTTATAATGAAAATATCTCTGCTGTGGTTTGCTCACAATGTAAAAAAAACATTTGCATGTCAAAATATTGGTATTTACATTTTACTCCATGTTAAAATATGCGTTTTGTTTTGCTCATTCACCACAACTCGACTAATTTGCTTATTGTTTTGTTTTCAGACTCACGCACACGTGGATGCTCTAAAAGGAAGCATACGTTCTCCTCCAGAAAAGGTAACACTGATAAACCTGCACTAGAGGCTTTCTGTTCATAACAGCAATATCAGATTTACACTTACATTACTATTCTTGCACTTCTTGTTTGCCGCGTTGAGCATAGGCTCAATGAGCTTCACTCTTGCCACAGTATGTTGCATTTCCTTTCTGTGTAAGCAAATGAGCTTTAAAAGCTAGCCAGACAGTGTTACAACAAACAGGACTGCTGTACGCTGTGAATGAGAGCTGTGGTGTTTAGCTTCCACAAAGCAGGAAGTGTTGTTGTGTAGGCCGGTGCCTCTCGTAACATGAGGATTTGATAAACACAAATACGGTCACTGTGGGAGCCCCATTAGGAAGTGAATAAACCAGTAATTTGTGAAGTTGTAAGTACTGCGGCTGTACGCAAGAACCGAGGATGACCAAATTCTGTTTAAGCCCAGGCCGAGATGCAAAAGTTCATTTACTGCTCTGTTTATGAGCTGCTCAGCGGGCAGAGGCTAACAGAGGTCTTTTCAGCCATGGATAAAGTGGATTATTGTTCTACTCGCATGGCCTATAATTGCAGCATACATGGTTTAATCGCAGACCACAGACGCTTTTGATTTCATCTAATTCCCCAAGCCATGGGGGGCTCTTTTTAATTGACATGCAATAAAAATTCTGTCACCTTATACTGGGTTAATTTTCTCTTTTTTTGTGGCACTTGGTTGTAATGAAATCAGTGGAAGCAGTTTTGTTTGTTTTTGAATGATGTATAAAATACCTTCTGTTTCCTCAGCAGGAACAAAACTGCATTTTGTAAATGATTTCTGAAATAATTTAAAGAAATATATTACTAGGTATAAATTAGGGCTGGGCAATATTGCAAAAAAATTATCCCGATATCATATTTCATATCATTCTGTATCGATAATTTTTTTTAGCAATCCTAGGAATATTAAGATTTTTTATTTTTTATTTAATCACTTTATTTTAATTGACCAACATTCCTAAGGCAAATAGTTTTAGTAGTCAAAACAAAAAACAATCTCTAATGTTTTAATATAAAATAAAAACATCTGTTAAACTTGATAAAATGTTACAAAAGGTGTGCAATGGTAAAAAGTAAACGCTAAACAATCAAAGCAAACCTTAATGCCTGTAAGATGTGAATAAAAAGAATGATACAGTGAACCTCGAACTCTCTAAACAAAACAAATTATGCTAATTAAATCTGAGCTTTCAAGTAAAGGAACCAACCATCATAATTCAAATACATATTGCAGCAATACAAATTGTTAAGTTGGATGACTACATTACGCCCTATTCAGATGGGGAGCTAATGGATGGGATACACAAGAAAAAAACAAAAAGCCACTCTGGCGACATCCTTGCATTGATTTTTCGTTTATTTTATTTTTATTTACAATCTCTTTACTGCTGCTTGTCACAACACTTATTTTCACGTATGTTGTTGTTCACATGTTGCGTCTAAAAGCATGTGAAATGCACGATTTTTACCATTTTCAATGCTCGCAGTCCTTTGGCGTCTTTCATACCTAAGCGACCATCAACCGTTTTCTCAGGGGATGACAAACGAACAAACATTTGCTGCGATTCTGCGCGCTGTCAGCAGCCACATTTTAATAAAGCTAAAGCACTTCATATCAAAACTTTATATTGAACTTTTTTTTTTTTTTTACGTTATTGATAATGGTGTTCGGTCAATAAATACCAATTCCGTTGTATCTACCCAGCTCAACTAGTAAAAGTATCTTGACAAGCTCTATTAAATAGTTTTAGTTTCTCTCACTTCACAACAAATTCTTTAAGAACAAAAAAGAGGATAAACTTTAACGATAGCTGAGTTTCCACTGTCCTGTGTTAGAAGTTGAACTAGTGATAAAAATACAACATTTTAAAAACAATTAATTTGTAAAAAGAACAAAGGTTTACACTCGTATAAGGATGTTTTGGATTTGCGACAAATGGTTAATGCGAATAATGGGAGAAACTCTGACACAGCAGATTAGTCTTGTGAGCTTAGACATGTTTCCATTATGCTTGCCCTGTTTACTGTTGGTTGCTAGGTTGCCAATACTACAAAGGTCCACTCAAACAACTTGGAAATTCACCTAATTTGCATTTGGAACCCTAATCTTTATATATATATATATATATATATATATATATATATATATATATATATATATATATATATATATATATATATATTTTTTTTTTTTTTTTTTTTGTTATCTTTGAAAAGATTTTCTTTACATTAAAATAGAAACTCACTTAATGAAACAAAGACAAATTGCAGTGTTATACTGTAAACATTTATTATTAACGCCTAGCCCTAACATATTTGAAGTGAAACAAGCTAGTGCATGTTTCTCTTGCTTTATATTGCTTTAGATTAAGTGGCAGAAAACAAAAAAGAAAATAATTTAATTTATTTATAATTTATTTTATGTGCTGAATTAATAAACAATTGTGTTTCTTTTGGTGTTTTAATTAGTTTAATTAGTTGATTAATCATGTTCTTGTTCAAATTTCCATCATAAACCCAAAAATGCATGCAGTAGTAGTTTAATTTAAAGTAATAATAAAAATCCCCACGCAATTATTAAAATCAGGCTGTTTGTTCCTAGTCTAGTTTCTTTAAACAGGAAGTTGCTTTGAGTAACACTCTCTCTGACCAACTTTTCTGGTTACTCCGGTTTAAAACGCATAACACATATTCTAGCTCTTCATCATGTTTTGTTTTTTCTTCAATACTGGCTCCCAAACACATCTAAGAGCACTTGTGTCAGGGTTTTTATTACACTGCCCTCCAACATTTTTTTACACCGCAAGGTCACCTCATTACCGATGCGGGTCAAGGCCTGTGTGCTGCCTGTGTTTTCTAATAGGTTTTTTCATATGTAGTATGTGGGCAGAGTGCTGGATCTGTGCATGTCATACTGTGATGATTCACTCTGGATAATGAATAGAGTTCATAGTGATGGTCACACACATGCACACGCACACAGGCGAGGCAGAACGTTGTATGCCAGCTTTGTTTCACAGCCACCCGACTGACGGTTTCTCATGCTTCTTTGCAAGTGCAGTTGTTCCGATAGTTGAAGCACTTTAGGTTTGACAGGAAGCTCGTTTGAATCGCCTGCACTCATGTGTGGTGGTTAACCACATACAGCAGAAACGGTATTGTCTTCACATCCTTTTGCGCTGAAGAGCATCTGGTGGATCAAACTGACTGATTTAACCTGGTTTAGTAGAGGGTGCTGCTTTAGGTTTTTATTGACTTGCTGATAGATGTGCCACACACCTCTACAGACACCACTGTGTAGGCTGAGACTGGATTCTTGAAAGTACTAAGATTGTCAGCACTACTGTTAGAAGCTGTGATTCAATGGCACTAATGCCAGATGATGATGATGATGATGATGATATTAATATAATGTGCAGTAGCTCCCTCTGCTGGAGTAGTGAGGAGTCACAGGCACTATATTTTTTGTCATCATGAGTCAATTGATTTCTTGAAGAGTTTATTATAAATGAAAATGATACTGAAAGTCCTGTTTATTTTTTAAAGCTACTAATTCAATTTTAAAGGTTCTATAATGTATGTGACAATAATGAAGGAAAAACCATTGCAAATTATGTTTTACACAGCACACAAACAATAAACAGACTGAAACAACAGCACAGTTCCCAGTCTCATGATCTGTCAACATGTGGACATCAAACATAATGTACTCTTATAATTATAATTATCTTATAAAAATGTTCTTGAAACGCATGTATTTATGTTTTTAATTATGGTGTTTTTGAATAGTCGCACAGTTTAAAAAGGCATTTCAAAAAAGATTTTTCCTTGTAATTTTAGTCAAGATTAAGTTTAATGGGTTAGCATCTGAAAGTGTAGAGACAAAACAACCATAAATAATAAGTTTTTCATTTCACTGTTGTTATTTATAAAATTCTAAAAGCAAGGATGAGGATGATGATGGTGATTATTGTTGATTAGGGCTGCACGATATTGAAAAAGCTGACATTTTGATGTTTTATTTTTCTACAATATATATATATATATATATATATATATATATATATATATATATATATATATATATATATATATATATATATATATCGGGATATTGAATGTATAACTTCACTAGATGAAATGAATACGTCTGTTTGGAAAGAATTAATAATTTTCGATGCATTTTGTAAGGGAGTGCATTTACATAAACTATAACAAACCAATCACAAGCACTGAGAAATATAGTACAGCAACAACACAATGTAAAAATATGCAGTGCTGTATAATTTTCTGGAAGTCTAGCGATATTTAAAGGCACAAATATAATAATCAAATGTAAAGTAGCACCATGTAGTATATATAGATAAATACAATTACTTTTCCTAATCTTTTGCCTAAATACTTTTAAACAGAATTAAATGATAAAAACATACACAAATAATAAATAAATAATAAATAATAAACTTTATGGTTAAACACTGCAGAAATTCCACAAATCATGAGTGTTTTCCAAAATCTGGTCAATAATAATAGGATTCAACATTACAGATTCTACGATGTGAATATTGCTGAGGTGCACATTGCAATATTGATGCTGAAACGATATATTGTGCAGCTGTATTGTTGATGTTGTTATGTAACTTAAAATAATTATTGCATTTGTTATTTTTACGTGGTCTTATACTTTTATATATATATATATATATATATATATATATATATATATATATATATATATATATATATATATATATATATATATATATATATAAAATTTGTATAATTTATATAATTTATATATAATTTTTTAAATGAAATTATTATAGAGCAATATTAACACTTTTTGTGAGAGAACACATTTCATTTACGGACAGTGTAGCTGGTTCGTCAAAAGAAAATACAAACAAACATACATTTACGTTACACTGCTTAAAGGGATAGTTTACCCAAATATAAACATTTACTTGCTATTTACTCACCCTTAAGTGGTTCCAAATCTTTATTTTTCTTTTTCTGCAATTAAACAAAAGAAGATATTTTGAAGAAAGCTGAAGACCAGTAAACTATGACTTCCATGATAGGAAAATCAAGTACTATGGAAGTCAATGGTTCCAGGTTTTAAGCTTTCTTCAAAATCTTTTCTTTTGTGTTTACAGAAGAAAGAAACCCATAAAGGTTTGAAATAAGTGAAGGGTGTGAGTAAATGATGACATAATTGTCATTTTTGGGTGAACTTTCCCTTTAACTGAGGCTCGGACACCAAATAACTGCTGAATTTTAATTTACTATGACAGCCCTAGAAAGGACAGCATATTTTTCAGACTGTTTTATTTGTTGCCTGTGAGTGAACAGTCTCTCGAGTACAAATGAAAAGGGCTAAGTCAAACTGACCAACAAAGAAAACAAATGTCTTGAGGTCTCTTGGGTGCTACATGTTTTTCCTGTTAACCACTCATTTGGTGGTTATTTAATGGCTTGCTTTCACATATGCAGATTGCCTTTAATATTGTTCAAACTGCTGCCACACTGTTATCTGTTAAAAACACATAGGCCTGTCACGATATCTTTTTTTAGTTGTATGATATATTGCAATAAAATATATTGCGCTAAACGATATCATTGTCATTTTAAGGCAATGTAATAGCATCATAATGCAAGTACACTCGTCCAAAGAACACCTCCTATCTTATTTTTAACATATCCTAAACAAATAATAATAAATGTTAACAAAAAAGTGCAAGGTAAAAAGTAACCAAGCCTGTGATAACTGCTACCAGATCTATTTTCAGTTGTCAGGAACATGAAAATATACTATAGTGTTTTTTTTAACCATACTGACACCACCATAGAGGTTGTGCAATCAGCTAAAATGTGGCTAGAATTGTTTTTTTATGTTTGGGAAATATATAATGCACCACCAAAAATGATTGAGTTTGTGTTCATGTATTGTGCGATAAGCTGATATATTGATTATTGTGACAGGCCTAAATACTTCACATGTTTTAAATCAGTTACTGTTACAACTCTCACCATTCTCGCAATTAATGTTTCACTGTTCATTATAGTGATTTTAAGTGTCTGATTTTTATCTCCTTCATTTGCTTTTTTATCATTATATCTTGATTAGGTTTCGCTGGAATGGGTAATCTTCTAAAAGTCCTTACAAGGGAAATAGAGAACTATCCACATTTTTTCCTGGACTTTGAAAGTAAGTTTTAAGAAGAAGTGGCGTCTGGGATTGGCGAGGCGTTTTAACCAGCTGTTTCTTTCCTCAGCAGTGACAGGAGGAGCCGGAACCTCAGTCTCAGAGCTCTTATAAGACACTTTTCCCTCTTTGCCTTCTTGTGGTGAAAGTTTATGCTTCCTGCTGTCCAATGCAGTTTGTGTTTGAATTAGTACCATATAGAGTTTAGATTCAGTTTTGAACAGCTTCTAAATTCACCATGTCAGGCAGAGGGAATTTTGTATGTAGGAGCATGAGACTTCACTCTTTAACACTCAGTGTGACATCCTGTGATTTTTTTTTTTTTTTTTTTTACAGTCTTTGATATGCAACACCTTTCTTTTCTCTCTCTCTCTTTCTACCTTTTTTTTCTTCTTTCTCTTCGTGCTCTTCTGTTTCAGAAACCAAATGGGGAATCTGTTAAAAGTGCTCACTTGCACAGACTTTGATCAGGGGCCAAACTTTTTCCTTGACTTTGAAAGTGAGCAGAGCTTTTGCCTGGCCTTGTGTCTGTCATTTTTTCCAGCTACTAACATTTTGCAAGTACCATTGTCAGAATTGTTCTTGCAAATCTCTTTGTCACAACGCAACAGCAAAACAGAGCATTACAATATTTTTGCATGTGCAAATGAGTTTGACAGGGCTTTGCCTTTTTAATTAAGTCTTTAATTAATTTTAAATTAAGATTTATTACAGAGGATTTTTAAATAATCCTTTTTTGGTAATCTCATACGTTTCTAAAAATCTGATTTGTTGTTGACAGCCGAAATGTGCATGATTTACTAATTTGTATTTGTAACTAAACCAATATGTGTGTCTATGCATGATCCTTTCCCAGAAAATGATCTGCTAAATCTTTGCAGCTTATGCTTTTTCTCTGATATTATTTTCTTCTCTGTTTGTTCCTTTACCTTGTAACTTTACCTGTTATACCATACTTACCACTAAACATTTAATTCCTCTGTGACCTTATACTCAACCCCAATTATATAACAATAAAGATTGATTATTTTTCTGTATATACATTTTAAAGAGAGCTTTACCCAAAATTTTCAACATTTCTTGAGCATTTGCTTGTTTAAAGAGAGTCCAGTTTTAATACATATTAATACAATTAGTGTGACCATGTAAATCATCATAACCTTTAGTTTTTTTTTGTATGAGCATTTCAGTGAAATGTTGAAAAACTGGGGAATCTCTGCTTTAAATAAAAGGAAACATTAGGGCTTTTCACATGTGATTCTAAACACCAATTTTAAACCTGAGTTAAAAGGAACTTTTTATGCTTGTAGTTTAGATATAGGGTTAAATTTTTTTAAATTAATTACATAATTTAATAGTAAATAGACAAAAAATGAACCGAGGCAATCCAGAATTCTGTTTATTTCCATGACTCTGTGTGAAAAGCCCAGTGAACAAAATGTATTCACTGATTTGTGTGAATTTTTTTTTTTTTTTTTTTTTAAATATGAAGTGCCCCTAAAATATTGGTGCTTTTAAGCCACAACTTCATATTCAAACGTCATTATATCACATAACCAAATATTAAAGCAAATGGTATTTGTTTGGAAGAAAATTTACAAAGCTTTTATTTTTCCCACAGAAGTAGTCCATGAATGAATAATGTTCTTATTGTATTTTTAGTATCTGAACACACTTTGGTTGTCAAATCTGGTGGCAATTGTTCCGTTATGGGTCAGATTTGGCTTAATTGGATTAAACAGAATAACGACTTTATACATTGCAGCATAAAATAAGACTATGCAAATGCAAAATTTGGGGAAAATGAAGGTGAAGTTTGAAGGCTCTGTACTACCTGGTTTAAAGATGCCACTTGCTTTCATATTTTCTTATGCAGTGAAATCCATTGCCTGTGATAACTAGTGTTCAACAGCACATAATGAAGTTTATTTGTGTCAGACGCACAACCAACAGACTGTGAGAGAGAAGTGTGGAACCAGGTGAATGCTGTTCTCCAGGAGTCTGAGAGCATCCTCTCTGGCCTTCAAGCCTACAAGGGTGCAGGCCAGGAAATACGAGATGTACGTCTTATTTAAAGGAACTCTTCACTTTTTTGGGGGAAATAGGTTCAGTTTATAATGAAATGAAACGGTTGAGTTTTATCATTTTTTTAATCTATTAAGCCAGTGGTTCGCAAACTGTGGTACATGTACCACTAGTGGTACATGGGCTTCCTTCTAGTGGTTCACGGAGGAACGAAATATGGCATGTACATGCTACATATATTTCAAAATTTATTAAAAATGATGTATATAGTATGCCATATATGACATATAGCCTATATTTCTGAGGTAATTTGCCATGTTTTTTTTAAACTGTGCAGAGTTGTAGCTGCTTTACTGGGCCTACTACACTACTGTATTTCAATTCGTCTCATTTTGGTGGTACTTGGAGAGACAATTTTTTTCTGAGGTGGTACTTGCTGAAAAAAATTTGAGAACCACTGCATCAAGCCACTGGTGTCAAACTCAGTTCCTGGAGGTCCGCAGCTGTGTAGTTTAGTTTTAACCATTAACCAATTAAACGCACCTGATCAAACTAATTAAGTTCTTCAGGCTTATTTAAAACCTACAGGTAAAGCTGCGGTCACACTGCACTTTTCTCCCCATAGACTTCTGTTCATACACACGTGAATGCGTCAGACCGGAAACGCAAGGTCGTGCGTCAAATTTTGCAGTTTGCTGCATTAGAAAGTTCAAGCTTGGTGAACTCTGACCTTGGTGAACTCATGAGACCAATCGAGGATCAAAACATGACCTCTCTGAGCAGGAATTTAAATATGGACCAATCCCTCACTTTTTTTAAAATGTCTAATCATCTTGTTCAATCCCACTCCTTTTCGCAATGCCGTACCACAGAATTTTGCAAGCTCAAACTCTAGTGTGACCGGAGCTTAAGTGTATTAGAGCAGGGTTGGAACTAAACTGTACAAGACAGCGGCCCTCCAGAAGTTTGATACCACTGCAATAAAACCCTTTAAGGTGCACTCCTTGAAAATAATTTTTGGCCCATTTTTGTATTGAATAATATATTGACACAAGTCTATAATTAGTAATAAGATAATTAGTAATAAGCATTTAAAATAATGCTGATAACCTATGGATAAAAGCTCAATCAGGTGGTTATGATGCCTGTTAAAAGGTTAAACCGAATTTTTTTGGTCTGGTTGCAGCACTTTTAGCTTAGCTTGGCATAAATCATTGAATCAGATGAGACCGTTAGCATTTTGCCCAAATTTTGGAAAAGAATTTGTCTGTTCAGTAGTTACATTGTGTAATAAGACTGATTGACAATGAAAAACTCCTATTTTCTATATCAATATGGCTGGGAACTAAACTACGTCATTCTGGCGTAATAATCAAGGAACTAGCAATATAGAAATATAGCAATAAAAATAAAGCAGAAATAGCACCTTTCATTTTCTACAAGTAACTGTAAGAAAAGTCTGTAACTGCAGAAAAGTAACTGCAGAAAAGTCTTTAGAAAAAATTACCGAAATTCTTAAAAAAAATTTAAGCAAGATGCTAATGGTCTAGTTTGATTCAATGATTTATGCTAAGCTAAAAGAGCTCTCGCCAGACCCAGAGATGGATCAGTGAATTCAAAAATGCTAAAACGCAACTGTTTAACTCTAGGAGACTTCACTTTGTATCTAAACACACTTTGGTTCTATTTATCATGTCAGATTAAATAATGTGTCTTGTTTGTTCTTTTAGGCAATTCAGAATCCTAACGACATGCTCCTTCAGGAAAGGGCATGGAACTCTGTGTGTCCCCTTGTCATCCGGCTAAAGAAGTTCTATGCGTTTTCATTGAAACTAGGTGCGCTGCTCATATATAATCACCTATAGCCTCATAATTGTACACTCTTTATGACTTTTGTTTTCTCTTTTCCTTTATAAAGAGCAAGCGCTGCAGAGTCTTTTGGAGTCTCTGACGTGTCCACCATACACTCCCACTCAGCACCTGGAGAGAGAGCAGGCCCTCGCTAAACAGTTTGCTGAAATCCTGCATTTCACCCTCCGCTTTGATGAGCTTAAGGTATCGGAGTCTTCAGTGTTTTTGTCAAATACCAGTTTTCATATTAGTGGAATTAAAATATATATATTTATTTCCACTGTTCTGGGTGTTGTTGATTAAATTATGCCATTTGTTTAGATGAGAATACCAGCCATCCAGAATGACTTCAGCTACTACAGAAGAACAATCAGTCGAAACCGATTAAACAACATGAATGTAAGTGCAGGAACATAATGTGAGATTTTACAGAATATTCTGTACACTGATAACATTTCTGTACTCAGTTGTGTTTTTTTCCTTGGTCTAGCTTGATATTGAAAATGAGGTCAATAATGAAATGGCAAACAGAATGTCTCTGTTCTATGCTGAAGCCACGCCGATGTTGAAGACCTTGAGCACAGCAACAACAAACTTTGTGACAGAGGTATTACCTGTTGTCTTTTTATTTTACATTCATTCTAGCTTTGTCTACAGTTGCAGTGCTTCTTTTCACAGATGGTACTGTCAAAGGTTTAGGAGTCGTACATTATTTTTTAACAATGATCATTTTAATTGGTAACTGCATTCAAAAAAATTCCCTCAAGGTATTTTATCATTTTACATATTTTTATTTTAAATAAATGCTGTTTATGATTATTAAGAATGTTTTCACCTTAATACAAGATAAAACAATTAACCCCCCCCCAGCATAGCATATTACAGTTTTTTTCTGATTGCTTACACACATTTTCTGAAAGCATGTCTCATATTGTCAGAACACACAAATCACAAAACACACACACATTGGCCAAAACTCTTCATGTCTTCTGCAAAATGAAACTCTGCGTTCAAAACAATGAGATTTCTTCTCAAAATGGTATTTTGTTTTCAAATGGCACACACAAGCCATCACATGAATAGACAATTTTAAGAACAGTTGAACACTGATATGCTTAGTGTAAAACCCTCTGACCACTTCTTCTCCATTCATCATAAAGACTAACTGTAAGCCTTTATTTGTTCAGTGTTACACTTACTACAGACATACATAGGCCTACAGAAGTCAACTGTAAAATATTTATATATATATATATATATATATATATATATATATATATATATATATATATATATATATATATATATATATTACAAAAAGCACAAATACCAAGTACATTTTACTGTATTTTCCCCACAAAAACAGTGTATGCAGTGTTCATCCCAACCAACACAAAGTTGCACATAACGTGGTCTACATGTACCATCAACAGAAGTATTTATAGAATACAGTTACAGTAAAAAAACAAAACAAACAGCTATACTGTATTCTCTTTTCTGTTTTGGTCTGGCCAAGTAGTGGGGGTAATGTCAACTCGCATGGCGAATTTAGCCATGAAAAGCATCAACTGCTATCGCTTGGATAAGGGGTATGCATGTGTGGATTTCGGTCATACACTTTCCATCCCCAGGCAGAAAAAAGTCCTTAAAAGGTTGGAGAATTTGAGAAAATGGAGGGAGATAAACAACTAAAAAACATGGGTGGGCAGTGAACCAGTTATGAACCAGATGAGCTCTGATTTCTAAATTGCAATTCTGTGTGAAAGGTGTTTACTCGAGATAAGTTGGTATGCAAAGTAGGACAACTGACTTTACAATTTTGACAGACAGTGTGTTCTTTGTGAAAACGAGATTTTCTGCATGAAAATTGTGCAAAATGCAGAGAATTGTGTGTTGTGTTTTGAAAAAAGTGTTTAAAACCTGCAATTTAAGTGTAAGGCAGGAATTGTTCTTGTAGCTTAGCAGAACTGGTTCAGGGGGTTGGTGCATCAGTTACATGTTGTAGTTCTTGTGTCTGAAGTACAAGTAATTGTGTGTAAACAATTGGACAAAACTATAACATTATTTATGAAGATTCATGTGACACCAAAGAATGGAGTAATAATGCTCAAAATTTAGCTTTGCCATCACGAAAAATATTTAAACATTTAATATTTTAAAATGAAGTATTTTAATAAAATAACAGGTATTTTAATGCCCGGTGAGCATAAAACTTGCATAAATAGTCTTATAAACTCCAAACTTTTAAAGTGTTTAAGAGTGTAAAAATCAGTATCCATACATTGTAATTTTCTGTGTGAAACTTTTCTTATTTTTTCTCTCCTTCAGAATAAGACATTACCTCTTGAGAACACCACAGACTGCCTGAGCACTATGGCAAGTGTTTGCAAGGTCATGCTGGAGACACCGTGAGTTCTCAGTCTGTTCTCGTGTTATTTCATCTTTAAAGACATGGTTCACCCAAAAATGAACATTTTGCTCTTCATTTACTCGCCTTTTTCTACAATTAATTTTTTTTTTTTTTTTTTGAAGCGGTGGTCATTTGTGATTCATTTCAACAAAGCCATTTGCACCATACTTCTTTAATTTGTTTAATTTTTGTTGTGTCAATTAGATTACTTATGAGAAATTATGATTCTCACTCGTGAAAACCACTAACAAACTCAAGTCTTCATATTTCACTTTGTTTTACATTCATTACTGGGAAAAGACTCAACATATTTATTTTAAGACCTCAGTGTGTCTTCAGGTGTTTTAGTTTTTGATTTACATTTCATAAATCATCAACAACGTCAGCCTATAATCCTCTTTCATATCTTACTGAAGAAAAAAAAGCCACATACCTCTTATTTGGCTTGAGTGTGAGTATATTTAATTTTTCAGTTTTCATTGGACCATACTTTTTATGCTCCCATTAATAACATATTTCTCTCTGAAATTTTGTAGTTCGTTTTAAAATCCTCAAATATTTTTAGGGCTAGACATTGCTATTTGTGCATGCTTGTGTACGATTTTAACTTGCTGATAACATCAGTCTGCCCACTGAAGGAAACTGTTTGTGTGACTCTTTGGCCAGCAGATGTAATAACAGTTTCCTATGGGACATGGGACTTTCTCATGAGGGCTCAACTAACCTAAAAAAATAAATCGTTTCACAGCAGTTTTATTGATAATTGTTAACAAATCATATGACTGCTTGTTAATGAAACATATGACTGCTTGTATTAAAGGAACAGTCAGCTTTTAAAAAAAAAAATACTTATTTTACAAACCCAGTTAAACAGTTAAGTTTACCATTGAGTTACCATTTATCAATGCATTCATCTGATTTTCGGGTCTGGTGGGAACACTTTTAGGTAAACTTAGTGTAGATAATTGAATCGGGTTAGACCAGGGGTGCCCAAACTCGGTCATGGAGGGCCTGAGTCCTAGATATTTTAGCTCCAAGCCTATTCAAACATACCTGAACCAGCTAATCAAGCTCTTACTATATATACTAGAAACTTTCTGGCAGGTGTTGAAGCAAATTGGAACTAAACTCAGCAGGACACTGGCCCTCCAGGCCCAAGTTTGAACACCTCTGGATTAGACCATTAGCATCCTTCCCAAAAATGAGCCTGAAAATAGGCTAACTCCTGTCAATATGACCAACATTACCTAGCCTGATTAGTTACCTTGCTGGGGTTTAATATCATTGTGCCTGCTGCAGCCATGATATGGCAGCAAAGCTCCTTGATTATTACACCATAATGCAAGTATAGTTCCTAGCAATATCAACCTAGAAAATATCAACTTTTTATTTTCCATCGGTTTCTGTACACAATGTGTGACTACAGAAGAGTCGAGCTTTAAATAGGAAAATTATCAAAACTCTTGGGTCATTTTTAATGAGATGCTAATGGTCTAATCCAATTCAATGATCTACTGTATGCTAAGCAAAGCTGAAAGGATCACCCCCAAGACACAGAGATTGACTGAATGGATTCAAACATGGTAAAACTCAACTGTTTAACAGTTGTAAAAGGAGCCCATTTTAAGTGATTCTTTTAAAGTGCATTGATTTATCAATACTAAGCTAAGTTTTTCCTCTGCTAACAGAGAATACACAAGTCGATTCAACAGTGAAGATACACTTTTATTTTGTATGAGGGTGATGGTGGGGGTTATTATCCTTTATGACCATGTGCATCCAAATGGTGCCTTCAACAAATCCTCAAAAATCGATGTAAGTCTACGTTCTCACACTTTCTCAATCAACCAATATATTTCTCCTCATTCCATTGAGCTTAGATTGACTTTTCTCTCATAATTTCCTGCACACGCTTTCTCTAGATGAAAGGATGCATTAAGGTGTTAAAAGATCAGCCTGCAGATAATGTGGAAGGTCTCCTTAATGCCCTCAAGTAAGTTTCTCCCTTCCCCTTATTAAAGAGAGATATGATTTAGCTTGTGTAACTTATGTGTTTTTATAAAATCGTGTTTTTCCTCCTAAGGTTCACCACAAAACACCTGAATGATGAGTCCACTCCAAAAAATATCAGAACAATGCTCCAGTAATGGTTTTTAAGTGAATCGGGTCAATATCCTGACCTCTAAAGATGTATATGTTTACAATTATTTAAGGACTTGATGTTAATACTTGGGTGTATTTACATAATCATTCCCTCCGAGTAACTGCAATGTAAAAAAAAAAAAAAAGCAGACCTTTATTCTAAACAAACTGCCTATACTGTTGTTGACAGAAGCACAAATGAAGAAAAAAACCAAGCAGCCTTATACAAATTCATGGAAAAAAGAAATCATCTGCCATTTTCTTTCAAATATATAACAGTGATCATGTTAACCAAAGGGGCTAAAACATTGGTTGTGAGTTACAGTGAAATCATATTGGCTAAAGCCTTGTCAATATTGAATGAGTAAAGTGTGTTGGTATGGTTGTGCTTTTGTATTTTGTAAGGTAATGACAAGAAAAGATAAGAGAAAAAAAAACTATGTAAAATAATCTGTTGTTTTTGTTCATTTCCCTAAATCTGTGGTCCGACTGAAGGTGGAGATCAGCATTTTTTTTGTCATTATGTGATGAGTGCTCTTTGTTTTTTTGTGCCTCTTTGTTTCTAACACATTCGATATTCATCAATACAGCTTTAAAATCTAAAATAAAATTGACATTTTGATTATATTTTGGTTTATATTTTCATGAATGTTCTCCCAGATTTTGTTGATGAATGTTTTTTTTCCAGCAATAACTACAACTAATTACGCCCCATTAATTCCATTAATTTACCTTAAAAGTAGGCAGCAAGGTTATTTTAGTAAATTAAAACAAAGACTAAAACTATTGTTCAAAATACATTTTTGTTAACTAAAATAAACAAAAAATCACAATAAATGAAACCAATGGCCTGTTTCCACTGAGTGGTACGGTTTGGTGCGCTTTTATGGCCGTTTCCACTGTCAAAAGGTACCAAAAAGCAAACCGTACCTTACCACTTTTTTGGTAGCCATTTGAAAGGGTACCTAGCACTACAGAAGGTGGAGCAAGACGCACAGCTAAACGCTATTGGTTTACAGAGAAGCGTCACTAGCTTGTGCACAAGCCAGAAGAATGAAAACAAAGGAAGCACCATTTTTAAATACACAGCCGAGACATTACACCGTAATAATATATACATATAATAATGAGCCATGGTCGGCCCGAGCTCAAACAAACATTGTCATCTTCATCAACAGCCACAAAGCCAAGAAAAAGAGCAGACTCTGCCCTGTGCCGTGTTGTACAAGGCCATCTAAAGTGTGAGCGGTTTCACTCTCTCTAGAGAGCTCACTTTTTGAGCTGATGATAATAACATGCACATGATTATTGAAGCGCTTCTGACATCCTTTCACAGACAGACAAACGCCAGAGTGAAGCGCGAAAAAACAAACGAGAAGCTCGAAAAAACAGGAGCAAATGATTCTTTCAGCAACCTAAAACAGGAACAATCTGCCATGTTTAACTATTAGCATCACCTTTTTGACTATAATGAACTCGTATGAAAGGTTTGCACTGACTGGGCTGTATGTTGTTTTTGAACCGAAATAAGGACTAAATGTATGCTGGTTGTATGTAGTTTTTTTGTAATAGGTAACCTATCGGAGACGATAAGGGTTTGTATGTGTTTATATATGTTGCATTTATTTATTTATGTATTTAATATAATTGCAGACTTTACAGTAGGCTATTTCACACTATCATTGATCTGCAGTTATAATCAACTCATGTTCATAGAATGGTTAGTTCATTTCTACACAAGTATTTACAGTATGTGTATAAAGCATCTGTTTTGGGAGAAGGGCTTCTCATATGATATGTGAATGACCCATACAGCTTTACTTTGACATTTCCTCGAGTGAGAATGGCGTTGACTGAAACTTTCTGTTGTACAGTACAATCCACAAAAGGGTACCCTTTTGGCAGTGGAAAAGCAAGCTTGATAAAGGTGACCCGTACCATACCTCTCAGTGGAAACGGCTCATAACAGCCACTAAAATGCTCACATAAAATAAAAGTTATTAAAAAGAATGAATAAGCATTAATTCTGTGCTAGAAAATCTGACCCACAGCTGTTTATGAAATTACCTGTACTCTATATGGTGCTTTTACAGCCAAATATATCAGTCAAGTGCATGATTGTGTACATCCTTTATGTAAACTTAAATACGAGTTCTAACTTTCCTTCAGTTGTCATAAATGTAAACTAGGTGTGTATAATACTATATATAATTTTTATTATGAAGTTTGTCTTAATTTCTTAAAAACTTGAATTTTTTATTTTTTTATTTGTTTAAGCTACATTTATGGGTTTCAGTTTAGTGTTTGTTCAAATTTGTACCAACAATTACTAATATTGGTTTGTTTAAACAAATGCTAAGAAATTTGCACTAGAATTAATGTAAGCTGTACAAACTTTAGGCTGTGCTCTGGTTGACTGGTTGTTTTATATAAAGAATTACTTAAATGGAAGACAAATACAAAAAAAAAAAACTAAACAGAAATGCTCACAAAATCAAATTAAACTACAACTACCAAAACCATTAATGAATAAATTAAAACTAAAATTTACAGCAAGATTAAAAATGACATTGAAATAAAAAACTTAAGTTTAAGTGCTAGATTATAAAATTTAAGTGCTAAATTTTAATAACCTTGGTAGGCAGTGAATGTATATCGACTGCAAACACCAGAGGGCAGTGTTTCATTGCTTTCACTTAGAATAAACCCAACCTTCTAGACTAGATAGCAGTGATTTTTTTTTTCATTAACTTTTATAACATAAACCTGTGCACGTAGATAGGAATGAATGATTATCACTAGGGCAAAACAATTATTGTACAATATAAAATGTACTTTTTTTTTCTTTTAACATTCTGAATGATTAAGAATCGTCTTATGACATCTATAAATGCAATGCTCTGAACGCTAGTTTATGTAATGAATGACTAGCCATTTAAAGTGCTGATAGATAGATAGATAGATAGATAGATAGATAGATAGATAGATAGATAGATAGATAGATAGATAGATAGATAGATAGATAGATAGATAGATATTATAGACAGCTATGTTATATTATATTATTCATTTATTCATTTTCTTGTCGGCTTAGTCCCTTTATTAATACGGGGTCGCCACAGCGGAATGAACCGCCAACTTATCCAGCAAGTTTTTTTGCAGTGGATGCCTTTCCAGCCGCAACCCATCTCTGGGAAATATATTATATTATATTATATTATATTATATTATATTATATTATATTATATTATATTATATTATATTATAGACAGCTTATACTATTGAATTGAGAGCCATGTAAACAGCTTCTTCTTTAGGCTGCACTACAGCAAATTAGATTATAGACTTCCATCTTTCTTAGTGGTCCTTCACTCTGGTTTTAAATCTGGCCTGAAAACCTTCCGGAAACATTAAAAGTAATCAGATTTATAACATTCTCTCAAACAGAGAGCAGACCGCGGTGGATAAGGGTTAACAGTCTTGTTTTGAGGATGGTGTATAATCTGTGTCCACTGTATGTGTTTATTGAATATTTATTGCGGCATGTAAAATCTTCTCCCTGATTATGAGCCCCGAGATAGGCATAAATGAAAGGGAAATGAGCCCTAGCAAATGTCAGCTGTATATTTTAGTTCCTCTCGAACAGGCATGCAGCTCCTCTATATGGCCCATGCTGCTGGCTTGAGGAGTTTCAGGGTTATTGATGGTAATGGAATCTCCCTTCTGTGTCTCAGTCAATCAGCAGGGAAGAATGTGTGTATTGGCAGTGTGTTCTAGCAGAGATGATAGAAGCCGAGGCCTTGAGACTGCATTGTCTCTGTTAAAGGGACAGGCCACCCAAACTCGAAATGTTTGTCGGCAGCATAGTGTAGGACTCTGACTTCTGTGGAACATTAATATATTTTATATAATGCAGGGTTTTGGTTTCAATGTATTCTTTTTTTTATATTTGTCAAAATGAATTGATGAATTTGAATGAATATGGTGACAATAACATACATTTTCTGAACAATGTACAGTTAAAGTCAGATTTATTAGCCCCCCTTTGAATTTTTTTTTTTTTTTAAATATATCTCTGTATATACAGTTGAAGTCAGAATTATTAGCCCCCTTTTCATTTTTATTTTCTTTTTTAAATATTTCCCAAATGATGTTTAACAGAGCATTGGCATTTTCACAGTATGTCTGATAATATTTTTTCTTCTGGAGAAAGTCTTATTTGTTTTATTTCGGCAAGAATAAAAGTAGTTATTAATTAAAAAAAAACATTTTTGGGACATAATTATTAGCCTCTTTAAGCTAATTTTTTTTCGATAGTCTACAGAACAAACCATCATCATACAATAACTTGCCTAATTACCCTAACCTGCCTAGTTCACCTTATTAACCTAGTTAAGCCTTTTAATGTCACTTTAAGCTGCATAGAAGTGTCTTGAAAAATATCAAGCAAAATATTATTTACTGTCATCATGACAAAGATAAAATAAATTAGTTATTAGAAATAAGTTTTTTAAACTATTATGTTTAGAAATGTGCTGAAACAATCTTCCCACTATTAAACAGAAATTGGGGAAAAAATAAACATGGGCGCTAATAATACAGGGGGGCTAATAATTCTGACTTCAACTGTATGTTTAAAAAAGAAAGGCAGTTTTCCACAGTATGTCTGATAATATTTTTTCTTCTGGAGAAACAAATTAAATTTAAAAAAACAAACAAAAATTTTAAGGTCAAAATTATCAGCACCTTTAAGCTAACTTGTTTTTCGATATTCTACAGGACAAACAATCGTTATGCAATAACTTGCCTAATTACCCTAACCTGCCAAAACCTGCTAAATATTTATAATTTCTGAGAAACAGCAAATTGGCGACCATTGAGCAATCCCAAGACAGTTGCTGTTGTCCATTCACAAGATGGCTAAAGAGACCACATAATAAGCCTTTAGACGAGAAAAACATTGTAAACTACAGCTGATCAAAACATAAAATTGGTAAGTGACATTCTAAGTCGATCTCTCTCTTTGGTGTGCTGTAGGGCTGTATTTATACTGTAGTAATCGTAGTGTATTGAGTGTGAGATGGGACTCGCATATTAGAAATGTGTGTATTTTGTGCTGACCACTCTTTAAATAACCCCGAGTTACTTTTTGGTTAGCCATCTGTTTCTTATGTGTCTCCTGTTTTCGTTAATGGAGACTAGTTCAGTAAACAGGCAGAAAGAAGAAATGCCCGCATGTGTTTATCATTTTTCCTTATCACAATCACAACAATAATCTGGTAGTAATTGTTTGACTTTGGCTTTATAGGGGTTAAGTATTGTGATATCTCAATTGCAACCGAGAAATACTGGGAAATCTCTGTATATTGATGGCATTTCAGCTCTTCAAATACCCGTTTTGTCATCACTTTAGACATGATGCTAGAGAATCACTCAAACATTAGCTCTAAAGTGATGTTGGTGAAGTAGCAATGGTTTCTGCTATTCTGACGTCAGCTGCAGATGTGAATGAATGGTGAAAAAAGTAATTCCTCATACAAAAGGGTTTTTTAGATTCTTTGTGTTTGAGTTTCTTTTTTTTACATGATTATGCCGTGAAACTGTTGTATAAACGCAATATCACACTC